GTATCACCAATCCCCTATAATTCCTGTGACATGTCAGTAGAGCTGCGGATGAGTCTGAGCCAGCTAAGATAATTTTCAAAAAGGATTTGACAGGGTCCTTTATGAGATGCTACAAAAAAAATTCTTAAATCATCCTCAGTGAGCGACAAAATATTATGAATCAAAAATTGGGTAGGTGAACACACACACAACCGAAGGATTAAACAGTCAATTTTCTTAATGGACCAATGATAAGTTCTGGTTGTGGCAGCAAATGAACGGAGTAATACATGTGGCAGGAATTTAAATTTAGATGAGGCTGGATTCACTACTTGCTTTTAATTACAATTTTTTTCAATCACTTTGACCGTTCCTAGAATCATACAACGCACAGCAAGACTGATAGCACTAGAAAAACAGCATTGACTTCAGTCTGGAGTAAATACTATTATTTACCTCTGGATAGAACATTTCCTGAAAAATTACCTACAAGCTAGGGTTAGAAGCCCCAAACAAAACACTACCAAGCAGTCATTAATCCACGAGAAATGTCTCATTATTTAATTGTTGCTGCAGAAAAAACATGTGGAGCAAGGATACACAGTACTATAGATTTCTTTATCTGAATACTTTCCTTTCCGTGAGAAGAAAAGCCAAGTTTGTGTATTGGCTGAGATTAACTAGGCTCAGACCTTCATAACTCGCAGAGCTGGACATTTATGTATAGCTGCTGATTTAAAATGGGCAGAGACAAGTGCAGTCACAGAATTCCAGTGTGTAAGTGAAACATGCCAACACCATCACCACTAAGATGGGACATCTGTGTAACCCTCACAGGGAGAAGCACACGTTAATAAAAAGGGTGAGTCAGAGGTCTCCTGAGATTTGTGGCCTGTTGTTATCTGCATGTCTCTCCCACTGGGTGCCTCCTCTGCTGTCCCCTTGCCCACCATGTCCCTGCAGATGCAACCTCTGTTAGTCTCCATCATCCCAGGCCATCTGAGCCACCCGTCATTGTGGTATATCTGCTAGCAGGAGGAGGAGGGTGACTGCTGCTGTCTCAGATAGGCCATCCTGAAACTGGGCACCTGTGCTTATCCACATTTATCCACTTCTCACGGGACTGGTTTCTTCTCACTGGTGACAGGTGACAGCATGAGGGGAAATGCCCTCAAGTCACACCAGGTTAAGGTTGGATATCAGGAAACACTTATTTACAGAAAGGACTGTTAAGCACTGGAATAGGCTCCCCAGGGAGGTGGTTGAGTCACCATCCCTGGATGTGTTTAAAATCCGTTTGGATGTGGTGCTCAGGGACATGATTTAGCAGAGAGTTGTTAGAGTTAGGTAGTATGGTTAGGCTGTGGATGACTCGATGATCTTTGAGGTTTTTTCCAACCTGAGCTATTCTATGATTCTATGATTCTATTTCTATCCAAGCAGTCCAGCTAGGACTTCATTCTTTGATCTGGAAATCTGTTTTCCACACTTCTGGACCCCAAATGGCTTCTCAGTGGTTCCTTTAGTTAACCTTGTCCAGGGCTCAAAGGTTAACACAATCAAGTTGGTAGAAATATCTAAATCTGTTTAAAATTAGCCCATTATCTTATAATGGCTGGAACATTATCCAGTGCAAGATGCTTCAGAATTATTTTTTGTTCAGTTTATGATTAAAAAAACCAAAAACCTGCTTTTGATGCAAAGTTAAATTTTTGGTGGCATTCATCAGTACATTTGAAACCTTATTTTCAGGCCGGTGGCTGCTTTATGCCAATCCCAAGCACCAGAGGCAGATAGGTTAGCTGACCTCAAAAGAGCAGCTGTGCATGAATTTTTATTTTAACACTAAAAGTTGAGTCCTTTTTGGTTAGTTAGACAGTTGCCTCTTGGTCTTATCTTTTCAAGCATTTCACACTGTGTACTGAAAAAAGATCTTGTTACAATCACATACCACCATGCTTTTAATCTGTGTCAGATATGTGCAGATAAAGACTAAAATCACAAAGGTTGCTGCACAAGGACATATTCTTCACTTGTTTCTGCTTGCCATTGAAGTTGCTGGAAATCTCAGTCTTTTCTCCTATTTTTCGCAATTCTGTTCTTGGCAGTCAGAAAGAGTCTGTGCCCATAGTTTAATATTTCTTTGTTCAAAAAGTATTTTACTGGATTTAAAACTTACCATTGTTCAATGGAGACAGTTTGTGATTTGTGGATATTTTTCACGCAGTGTTTTCTGATTTTATATTTATATATATTTCTAATCTGATTTCATTTCTAAATTGACTGAATTCCAAATGGTAGCAATATATAAATCATATGAACAGAATTCATCATATTACTCTGATAAAATCATATTCAGATATTCATGATAATAGCAATTATTAACCATGGCAAATATCTGTGATATTAGTACAACTTTGTGTCAGAAATGGTTACGTTAAATTTAAATTATGTAGAAAACTTTATTACGTACCACAGCTGCAAGTAAAAAGAAAGAAGAGAAGCTAGCTGGAAAAGAAAAAAAAAAAAAAAAAAAAGACTATTAGGGCCATTTTTCATTGAAGTGTGGATGAGAAATAATCTTGGAGAAAAGAAGAAATGAAAGATTTTGACATGTCAAAAAGAAAGGTCACCCTTATTTTTAATCAGCCTTCTCATCCTTTCCATGGATGAAGGTATCATTGTCAGACTTGGGCAGGCAAGGTGGGAGGGAAGAGCTCTGTTAACAGATTGGTTTCTGCACGGCACGTAGCAGACCTCTCAGAAGATGTTTCCGTGAAGGTGACAGTGGGGGTCAGCCACAGTATAACCTACGGGAACTGCTGCCTGGGCAAATGGAAATCATAAGCACTGAGCAGTGTATTTCACAAGTAGGATGGCTTTAGGTCAAAACCACTAGATGTTCCCATCCCAGTCTGGCTGGCCCAGTTCTTGACGGAAGTAACATAAGGCATTGCCCTTCAAAAGAAAGGGCCACGTGGTTATTTCTTAGACATGCTTTGGGGCTCAGCACTTCAGCTTCTTGGGAAAAACACTTTGGGAATGGAGTTTTACAGGTAAAAATGCCTTTCGTCTGTGCACACAGCACTTCATTTTCTAGAAAGTAAGCAAATGGTTGTGTGAAAGAGAAACAGAGAAAAACGGATGAGAAACAAATCCATTTTTAGATCACAGCCCTAGGATTAAATGTCACTATTGCAACTCTGCTTTCTGCCAATTTACTGTCGTAAACTCTTACAGTTGGAATATTTCTCAGTATGTAATTCATCTTTTGAAAATAATAGCACTTATGCCAGGTGCTTGTAGCACTTGGTCTGCTCCCTTTCAAATGGCAAACTGCTTGCCGGTGTTTCAGCTTGCTTGTGTTTAAAGAACTTACTGTGCATTAAAATGTACTCTATAGTTCTATTGCTGCCACTTACCAGATAAGCAAGTCATAAGATGAACAGTCTACCTCAAATAACTGAAAAGCAAAGCGGTTCTGATACTGACACTGCAAACCAGATGATGCTCTGATTAGAGGTATCCACGTAGATTACTGAAATCTAATAAATCATGTCATTTTTTTTGCTTCAAATAAAAGAAAAAGTTGCAGTTTTTTATTAGAAAATAAACTGTTTATCAAGAATGCTTTAAAGGTGACATTTATTACTAACAAACTGTTTTGAAAGGGCTGAACCACTCATTGGCAGAAGAGTCAGAGACTTCCTTCTGTGTGAAAAATGCCCCATCTCAGTGCTTGCAGGGTCAGGAAGCATTTCCATCAGCACTACTGAAGGGTGGGCGATAGATTCACCCACATCTTTCTTCAAACAAGAACATTCCTCAAACTAGAAATGAGTCATGGAAATACAACTCTGGTATTATGCTGGGAGCAGTCATAGTTCTCAGCACATGCCCTTGGAATATTGCTGAGAAGCCATTCCAGAGTCAGATAATGGTAGAAAAAACCAGGAGAGCATCTGCTGGGCAAACTCTTGATAGTGTCAGTGAGCCCGCTGCTTAGGGAGGATGAGGTTTCCTCTTCAGCTCTTGAAACTTGTGGGTTGACTCTTCGGGGTTGTCGTGCTTCACATAGCTTCTCATATTAACTCCGTTAAGTTGCTGTGTACCAAATATTATGGCTGTTGCTGTTGAACATGTCAAAAAAACATGTCAAAAAAAAAACAACAGCCTACACTAGACAGGAATATGAAGCTTCTCTCTTAACAAATCATCTCCTATCTGAAGTGTTTAATTCACACTTTAGCCCCCTCCTTCCCAAATTCAGACTTGCGTTAGAGACTAACTCATCCATCCCTGACTGGTAACAGCATTGAAGGTGTGTCTGCCAGCTACCTGAGTCTGGGTCAGGAATGACTGCATACAAGTCTAAACTCCATGCATCTCTTAGCTATTAAAAGATGTCTTTTGAAAATGCAAAAGTGGAAGGCAAAAGTGCAGAGCAGCACACTTCACTTAGGGCTTGTTGCGTGGCCATGACCTGCAGAACACAAACAAATGGCAGTTATGAGCTTATTCAATTCCTTTAATATAAAAAAGAAAATTGTAGGAATTAACCACTGGGCAAGTTCAAAGTGTTAAACATTTATCATTCTGACCTTGTCTGTGAAATCTATTTTGTGATTAGTACATAGGATGTACCTCATTATTTGATCACAAACTGAGATTTCTGTTCCCATACTGCAAAAACAAGATTCCTCTATTATTCTCACCAGGCAGAATACATCTTATGATTAAAACGTGGATGCTGATTGTCAGAAAAATCAAACTTCTTGCACTTAAGATGCATTAACTATTCAGGAAAATGAAATGGTGCTTAAGAACTGCTCTCAAGAGTCTGAGATAAAAATCAATGTAGCTCACGTATTGTCTAGATTATATGTGAACTGGGCATTTCCTCAAAGTTACAGTAACTTACATATTCCTCTACCCAGATATCCATGCTAGTGATATACTATTATTTTTTCCTATTCCACTGACTTCCTAAATACAGTTTGCTGTACAATATTGTTTTTCAGGAGATGACCCATTCATGGCCTCCACCACTGTCGGCTATTCACACACCAGGGAAGGCAGAGCAAAGCAAGTTTCCCTTTCCAAACAAGGTAAGAGATGTAAGAGGTGCAGCCTGCACTTTGAAATATGACGTACATGAGTTCTGGTTAAGTATGGCTCTGGACTGAGTCTGATGCAGTGCTGATAACCTTGGCCATGCGTGTGCCAGTATCCTCTGGCTTTTCCCTGCTTACAGCCTCTGCAGCAGTACATGGTCTTGTTTGCATACTTTCTGGCTGTAGCACTAACCCTCACATGTTGGTCACAGGTTCCTCACCTTAGGGAAAAAATACAGGCATCCCTGGTGGGGTACCCAGATGTGGTGACATTTGTGGGCACTTGCTGAGACTCCTGACCAATACTTCAGAGCACACACAGTTGCAGTAAGTCAAGAAGCTTCTGCTTACATCCCGCTGCTCCCACTTCATTTGGCTTCACTGAAGCCATCAAGGGCTGAGATAGACTTTGCTGATACACTGATCTATGTATCTGGGGGCTGATGAGCAGGTAGATATGCCCTGCCACCAACTTGGCTTTGGGAATAGATTTGCTCTGGAGGCAGAGTCTAGTGCAGAGGTGTCCAGAGGAGCCACAGAAGCATTTGCCAGTGAAGTATTTGCCTGTTCAAGTCCAGGAGCAGGGGACCAGTGTCCTTGTCCCAGAGGACCAGTGCCTCTGGTTCTGTTAATGATCCTTAGAAACCAGCTCCATCCACTACTGTGTGTGTATCACTGGAAGCATACAGCATAGCACAGCGAAGCTTATGTGCAGAAGCTTGGGGAAACCACATTATTTGTACTTGGTAAATCAGGAGGGAAGGAGGTCAGCTTTCCTATGCAAATGCCAATAAAAATTTCTCATTGTATCATCATATACAGTTTATATGCCACAAGCATTTGTCATGAAGTATTCAAGCTTGAAATATAATACTGATGTCGTTTATAGCCTTTTTACTGTTAAAGCAACTTCCTTTGGTAACTGTTAGTCCATTCTTCAGAATTTAGTGAACAGAATGATTACAACCACAAAGCCAAGAAAACATCAAGGTTTGCCTACAGTAAAACTGCTTTGCCGTGGATGATAGTGTCATGGTTTTGAAGTACCAGGGGTGTAAACCAAAACATCTCTGGCATGTTATGGAAGAAAAACAGAAGGAAATAACTCACTGTCTTTCCTCGATGAAAACAGACAGTTGATTGAAGGTGAGAGGCAGACTACAGACTTCTTAAGTTAAAGTAAGTCCAGCAGGAGATGGATCAGCAAGTTATCAACCAGTAAAACGTGAATGACAAAAACAAAGTGGTGTTTCAGCTCAGCAGTTTCTTCCACAATTATTACCATTCAGTGTGTTCAGATAGCACGTGTGCAGATGTATATGGGCAAGGTATGCCCCTATCAGCATATGTGTGTGACCATCATGAATGTAATTCCTCACTACTAAAGGTATTGTGATAAATACAGGAGTAGCAGAACCATGGTCTATAGGGCTAAGATATGTGAATAATGGCTGATATTGACTTTCTCATCTTCTCTCTGCCTGTTCGTCCATCTCTGTGGGAAATAATCTGATAGCTTGAACTGTGGAGCTGTTTCAGAGATCTACCATTCATTTTTAAAAAGCCTTTTCTAGTTGGTTGCCTTTTCTCCTACCAAAGTAGAATTCCCATTTTATTTAAGCCTAGGATCAACAAGATTTCATCTAACAGTATATGTACATACTTTAGTAATATAATGATACCAACACTCTATTCTGTCCTTAGTGGCCTACATTGTCAGAAAATAGAGTACTTTACATAACATAGTGAAGAAATACCTAGAAGTACATTTTCCTCTCAGAAACACCCTGTATTACTGGCCATAAAACATGATAAATTTAGACACTGTCTCTTTTTAATACTTTAAAATAATTAAAATGTATTTCTGTCACCTCCTCTGGACCCAAATGGTTGCATGCTCAAGAAGGCATCTGTTTTTCAGTCTCCAAAATGCAAATAATGGTTTCTTAATCTTTCAGTCACGTTTTCAAAATATTCATAAGCTAATAACTACTTTTCACAAAATGTAGTGAAAAATCTTTCTTAGATCTCATAGGAGATAGCTCCATAGCTCCTAGGAAGCTTTCCTATAGATGAGCTATATAGCTGTTCCAAGTTGAAACCTAAGAACTACACTATGACCACACACTATGCTGTGTGGATGGCACATTACTCAGAAAGATAGTCCTGTCAGTCAAGCAGTGGCTGAGGACAGCAAAAAGGCTAAAAGGCTAAATTCAGGGCATTGGTTCCTTCTCTCCATCTCTCCTTCTCCATTGAGTGAATGGTACTGTGAATACATTTCCAGACTTTATGGAAGTATTGAGACATCAATTCAGATCATTTGCAAAGCATCTTTCAGATTTACTCTGTAGGAGTAAATAGGCTACAACCCTTTAGTAGAAAATGTTTCCAGATATAAAGATATTCACAGTCTTGGGAATGAGAATCTTGTAAGACTCCTACCTTTCTGCAAGGATGCAAATCATTCTTACTTTTCTGTCTATAAGAAATGAGTGCCAGCATCATTAGTCTCTGTATCTACCAAATTACTTTTCACCTACGACTCAAGTAATCAGTGATCTGACAGCTTGAAACTTGAAATTTATTAATTAGGCTATTAAAGTTGCAAAGGCCACAAGAACTATAGCTGGACTCATTTTGAAATCTGTCTAGTAATAAAAACTAATAAATGAGTTTTGTATGTCACAAATACAACAGGATTGCATTTAGTAACTGTGCATGTGGATATGACCAGCCATATAAGTCTATGCTCTGCGGATGGGAGGGTGTATGTGCATATGCTATACGTGTATGCAAAATCAGACCTCACTAATGCTGGAGGTCTGCATTAATCCACAGGAATGAAAAGAAAGCCAATGTGAAATTAGAAGTGTTGGCTACTGCCCAGTAGGTTTTTCAGCACTGTGCTGCTGGGTGAGCACATGTAGGGAAGTGTTCTTTATGTAATAGAGGGCATAAAGTTGCATTTCGTTGCTAACTTTGAATTTTGTTTCTCTGTGGAATTAATTTGTGTTCTTGAATTTAGTAGGAAGGAGCAGTGATTGTCTCTTTATTCCTTGTTTTTCAAAGCTTAAGGATAATTGGATCAGTGTGTGATGTGACAGCCTGCATGTGCTTTCCTCTCTCCTATCTCTGTCACACTTTGTTATGAACAAATGGCTAGGCATTATTTGATTGTAATTTTATTAAAACATCTTAATAAATAAACTTTAAATGAATAATTAAATTTGGTAAATAAGAGCTCACTTGATGCTTGTGAATGAGCTTTCATGTTCAGACATTAATTCTCTATTCCAGAGTGAGGGAAAAAGTGCCGTTAGTTCTGCTGCCGCCTTTGCTCTCTTTTTTCATTTTTACTGTGATTTCATGTCTTGAAAGTTCGATCAGGTGTTTGATTTCTATTTATGTGTGTGTGATATTATAGGATCAGCCATCACTTTGTTACTTGAGAATTAATTCATCCACCCCAGGAAAATTGCTATCTTGTCACAAAACTATGGATTGATTATTCTCAGAAGCTAAATAATAATAATAATGTTGTCTTTTCAGTGCCCAACTCATTTACTCTTTCCTTTCTTGTTGATTTTAACAAGATGAAGTAAATGCATTAGGAAAAAAAAATGAAAAACTCCAGAAGTGAGGACTTCACCTCTTCTTTTTAAATTACACAAAACATTGTTTTCCTACATCAGTAAGAATATTCTTTATATCACGGCAGTATTTTTATTAGTCTTTTTATTTAGAATAACTTCCTGAAAATGAAGACACTTCTTTTAAAGAATCAGTTAAAAGGAGATGTGAAAATGTTATAACTCCTGTGTTTTGCTGATGTGAAATTTGAGATAAAGCAGAGCCAATGGCAGAGGAAATATACCATGCTAGACAGTTAAAAGGGGAGGGTGCATTCTTTCTGAAGCTGATGAAAATGTAAAAGAGTGAACAATTTCCTTGCTTTGCAGTTTCAAATAATCTCACAAACTCAAGGATATCTTCATCAAATAACTTTCTTCCCCAAAACAGAAAACAATTTCCCCACACATAGTTACAAAAATTCACTACTGTTGAAACTGAATGTGCTCTAAGAACCTACTTTTATTGGCAGCCTGGTTGGCTACTAGAACAACATTTAAATTCAAGAGTGTGTATCATTAGATTATCACTGTGATCTGCCTCTGACATCTTATGATTATATTCAGCCACTTGGAAAAAAAAAAAAGGCTCTAATATTCCTCCATCAGAAGCATTCATAAAATGCTGAGGTAATTTGTCAAAAGTTGGAAATTTTAAATTATTGAAAAATTATTGTTAGCATATGAATCCTGGTACAGATATTTTTTTACTGTAGATGAAAGTAGGAACTCCTAATACTTGTCCCAGAATTTGATTTCTCCCATGTCAAGTGCATGTGGTGTCACTGAACTGCAGGTGTGTGTTACACCATAGAATCTGTACATAGAATCTGGCCATGTAATCCAGAGAGTCTTCGCTCCAAAGCAAACAGTGCAGCTGGAGGGGATTTGACCAGCGAAGCCCCGGAGGCCTCAAAATCCTCTCTTCAGCCAACCTCCATTTGGAGGTACCAAACACTTGGGCCCCTAAACCACGTTTCTACAGGACACACAGCAAAATTTTAACTTAATCAAGCACCTTATTCTTAATTTCTCTGGACACTTGCAGTTCCTTTTCTCAGATCTCTACCAGGGAGTTTTCTATGGGCGGTATCTATCTGAGGCCTAGTGAACAAGAGAGGAGGTAGCACAGACAGAAGTTGGATAAAGAGTAAAAAAGTGATATCTTTAAGCACGCGCATGAGTTTGGATTTATTTATTTATTTATTTTCTAAAATTTAAGAACACCCTAAGGTCTGAAGTCTGGGTTCCAAGCTGTAACAAACCTACAGATTTCTCAACTGCTTTGCTTCTTCATAGTGTAGCAGAGACATACAGATACCAGCTTTGTCTAACAGATAATTGAGAGCTTCCTGTTTCTGGCTGTGTGTCTGGCCCATCACTCATCTGCTGTGGATCACAGATCTTCTTCAGGGTTCCATTGCTCACCAAGAATGCATGCTGCAGATGCCTGTCAAAACAGTCTGTACTGTTGTCATTGCAGCATGCACATGAGGTCGTTTTCAAACAGCTTATTCTGGGCTGATTTTGTGGTAACTAAGATCTCAGTTAGAGGCAGAGAGGGGAGCAGCTTACAAAAATATAAAATAATAAATAGTAATGTGCTTGTAACACCGACACAAGGCTAGGGGCCCAAGCTTTTCATATGTAAGAGTTGCCTCTGATAGTAGAGAACTATTTAAAACGAAGAAAATTTAAACAACTGACTCAGAAGTTTTAATGAAAGGCTGTTTACCAGCAACTTCTCAAAAAGTATTCAAAGAACTTAGCAGAGCACCCAATATATCTGCTGAAGTAAAAATAGAATATAATGAAAATTGTGTTGGTCAGCATGGATCAGATTGAGAGACACCAGATATATTTGAGGGCCAGGTGTTCGCTTCATAGAATTTTGATGTCATCCTCATATACCATTACCTACAAAACTGTTCTTTTTTTTTTCAGATTCAGATGAACAAATATATTTCTTTGCTTCTTCTCCTTGTAATCTTATTTTTTCCTCAATTTAAATGCATTTTCATTGCAGATTCTATAACTATTTTCATTGTACCTATATGTTTCTTTCTAATTTTTATGAATTTAAACAAATTCTGTGATTAAAATGTTTGAACATTTATGTGTGACAAAGAAACATTTATTGTACCATATTCATAAATATTACAGTTGTGATACAAGGTTGACCTTGGAATCTCAGGGACCCAGAACTAAAGTGTGTATTTCCATTCTCCAATGCTGCCAATATCAGCATGTAAGAAGCAAAGATCAGCTGTGCTACTACTTCAGGAATCCAATGGCCCATGAAACAGTATTGGTCTTCCCTCTATCTTCTCATCTAAACTTGTCGAAAATAATAGACGAGTTTGGGTTGATCAATAAATGAACAGTAAGCAGGAGACTGGCAATAGCTGTACAAGGAATTGTGCCATTAGAGGATTGTTGTGAAATAAGTTTTCAAGCCTTCTGATTAAAGCATTTTCAAAACAACATTGGATTTATTCTTGTAATTGAAAATGACTTTTAAACAGAATGATCAATTAACAGTGCTGTTTGTACTGTTAAGGTAATGTTCAAGCAAGTATTGCAGCTAAATATTGCCATAAAAATAATACAGTATACCTTTTCTATTATTATTGCAGGAGTCACAACAGGGATCTACAGGACACAGCAATACAAGTAAGTACCAACTCATCTATGGTTGCACTGGGTGGAGGGAATCACAATGACTGTGAAAACCAGGGGACTAATAAGAAAACAGGAGTAGACTGGTACAGCGCAGAGCCTGAGCAACCAGTACTCATTTTTAGCCAAATGTTAGGATCTGAATTCAAGAGCAGCTATTCAAACACCAGATCTTTGGTGGATTGGAAAGAAAAAAGAAAAGAAAAAAAAAGAAAAAGAAAAAGAAAAAGAAAAAAGATTCACTTATAGAATCATAGAATCATTAACGTTGGAAGAAACCACTAAGATCATCTAGTCCAATCATCAGCCCATCACCACCATGACCACTGACCCATGGCTATTTCATTATGTTGTTGGAAAAGACTGAAATAGCAAAAGAATGGCTTTTCTAAAATGCCAGAGAAGAGCTGAACCAGTTGTTTGGGAAAGGGCACTGCCAAATCCAGACTGCAGAAAAAATGATCACTTATCTTTTATAGGCAATGGTATATTCTGTGACTATTGCACTGTGAAAAGATAGACAAATCTTGCCAATGTGATACCAAATGATGCCTCAAAGACCATATGGCAGTAGGTCTTTTCTAGCTAGAAAAATGAAAACAAAGAAACAACAAACAAACAACTGAGCATCTGGATTGAAAAGAAAGATTGAATTGTTCCATAAAACAAAGTATTAATCCTCTCCCCTGACACCTCTGACTGTTGTTAATGTTGTCTTGCATATTAAAAATACATGATCCTGCCCTGCTCTCAACGTAAAATCATCTCAACCAGAAGAACTATTTTGTTAGTTTCCTGACCTGACAGCCAGCACAGAGCCCTGTTTGCAAATTACAAGGCTGTGACTGAAGATGAAAAATGCCCTGAGCTGGTAGGTAGGGCTTTGAAAGTGTCTGGTCACCCACTGCGTGAGAGAGAATACATCCAGCAAGACAAGGCTGGGAGACGTAGGCTATTAAAACTGTGCAGCTCTTTGCCAGGGAAAGGTCGGCAGGCAGAAGTTGATGTTGTGAAGAAACATGCAGTGGTGTCACTTAATTGCCAGCATCAGTTTGATATTGCTGTGAGGACCAGCAATAAGGAAATAATAACAGGCAAAGGGGATGAGGTTCTGTCAGAAAATAATGAATACAGTAATGAGAGAAGGAAGCACAAAGGGGCCATAATGGAGAGGGCTATGCAAACATGCAAAGAGTTGTGGGCATGACAAACACACAAGCTGAGCTGTGGGCTTCACCATGACATCAGAGGCCACAGTGTTTGGATAGCTTTGATCCTAGTTCCATTTCATTTATTTCCTTCTTGCAGCACTTTAATAAAATAAGTTGTTCTGCAGATCTAATGAAACCTGCTCTCCTGTGAATTAAAAAAGCAGTTCTGCCTCTTTACATCTTTGCTCTGCTCATTTCACCTCATTTCACTGCCAGTTCCCCCATCAGCAATCCCACACCTTGGTACCTCCAAGTTTCTTCTTATCTCCTCATTCACTCTGCTCAGCAAAATCAATGTATGTCTGCCACTGGGTTGGAACTGCACTTGGTCCTGGTTGGCTGTAGTGGCAACCATGCCAAAGAATGGCTGAGCCCATGCAGAAACACTTCCTCCATTGGTATTGAATGTTAGGGTTGCTGTCTGACATCAAGTCACAACTCCTAACATTTTGGAGGAATTTAACTACCTCTGAGATATGTATCCATGAGGATTCCTGTCAAGATATGAAAATAAGTCACAAAATAAAGCACAGTTAGGTAGCATAGGAGACAGACCTTATCAGTCATGTACAACAAACCCAAAGGAAATTCAAGTAAAAAGGATCTGGATGTGAGGCAATGCTAGCAAATGGCTCCATATGGGAAAGAAATCTAATGGTCTATATACTGCATTATCCAAATGCACATCTTCAGAGTCTCAGTTAGTTGGTATTCCCCATTGCACCATGTCTTCTGTGGAGTGGCTCTTGAATCTGGCATTTGCAATGTTTTTACTTCAACTGTTAACATTGTCTTTCTCATTTGCATTTCTCTCATCTTTCCCCTACAAGGAAATGAAAGCATTTTAAAACCCCTAATGGATGAAGTTATTCTGCTCTGTTAAAATAAGTATTATTTATCCCTGTTATCCAGAGAGGATAATTTATAATGGTTAGGTTGAGTGATTCACCCAAATTCCTTCCGCTATTCAGCAGGGAAATCCTACGAAATTCCACTTGAATTTTATTTTGAAATGGGAGAGAATTGCATGTATCCATCTGGTTGTATTTAAAACAATTAGGAAATACATGAGCCTATCTCATCCTGATTTTCTTTTCTTAAATGTTAGGAACAGTCTGCCCAGGGAGGTAGTGGAGGTATTCAAGACTCGTGTAGATGTGATACTGAGGGACATGGTTAGTGGGCATGGTGGTCATGGGTTGATGGTTAGACTGTATGATCTTAGTGTTCTTTTCCAACCTTACTGATTCTATGATTCTATGATAAGATGTAGTAGAAATTCAATGATAAGATGTAGTAGAAATTAGCAAAGAATTGTCTGTGGTTAAGGATCTGAGGGCTGATGGTTTCTACAATTTGCTTCAGGAAGCATGCACATACATACACTCCAGTAAGTGGACACATGCACATTACCACACTCATTTCAGAAAACATAAACAGGACATAGCAGCTGAAGTGAAGTGTGCTAACAGCAGCCCTGTAAAAGAGGTGAGGTCGGTAGCATATCCTTTGTTAATTTGACTGGACTAAGAAAAACTGAAGACCCCACAAATTTGCCCATTAAAACAAACCAGAGCTAGAGTGGATTTAGTTCAGCAAATGCTCAGTGGTGCTCACATAGTGGTGCTTGCATGCATTTGTCAGGTTACATGAAAAATGGAGATACAATTCTTGGTCTAGCCAAGAGTGAGTGTGGAAAAAAAAAAAAAAAACAAGTTGCTCTGACAGATAATTCCCTTTTACATATGCTTTTCCAGTATCTTATCAGTACCATATCTATGACATTCAGCTATGCTTAGTCTATACACATTTCTCATATTTCTATTATTCAGTCAAGTGTGAACAAAGTTGGTACTAACTGATAAAGCATTAATGACCAGATTTTCTACTCCAATAGGCTGGAGTGATGCATTTCTAGCATCCTCAAAAGCTTCATCCTCCCCCTCCGCAAAGAAGTATGTTAAGTGACAATTAGCGTTAAAGCAGCTGCAAATGCTTACTGTAGGGTAATTCATTAATATCCAGTTAGCCTAATCGCAGAGATTCCCTTTTCACTCAGTCCTCACAGTACTTGTGCTGTTTCCCTCTCTACATTAACACACATTGCTGAAAGTAGAACTTATTTGAACTCTGCTGGCAAAGCACTCAGGAATCCATATGCCCCCTCACACTTAAACAAACCAGTGTGTTCATGGTAAGAATTCATCATTTATTAAAAAAATCTAAGTTACAAATAGAAAATCTTTGAATACATGCCAACTGTTACTGTTGGTTTCTTGTTCCAAATTACCATAACACAGATGAGCTCCAGGACTCCAGGCTGACAAATGTACACTGTAGCAACAGCTTTCTAGCCAGCAGGTTCATCAACTGGATATGTTTTCTGAAGTCTGTTAAAAGTGAAAAGTGTCCTAGAGATTATGAACTGGATGTATTCTATCTTGTGTGGCTGCCTAGCTTACGTCTATATTTTAGGTGCCTTAAGCTAGGGGTCCACAGAGAGACACGGTGTTTCTAAAGACAATCAGATCTGTCCACAGCCTTTTCAGTAAAGTTTAAGAACAAAAAAGGTACACACAAACTCTTCCACAGGAGGGGATGAGATGCAAGCACCACAGCAAAGTGTTTGCACTACCCAGAACTTCCTTTTATTAGACCTCTACTTTCAGAAGGTCACCATCTGGATCAAGTGCTTTAGATGATTTCTGCACAGCAGTGGAAGGACATTGGTGGCAAAACTCTGCCTCTTCTGAAGGCAACAGCGAGTTTTCAAGAGGCACCCCATATAGCCATTGCTGACACTCCAATGCTATACAAAAACTGTGTGAAGACCTTGGCAGCAATGAGTGGGTGATACATACTGCTCATGTGCATAGAATGGGTTAGAGGCTGGTCTATAACCCACTCAGCTCAAGTCAGTGACAAGGGAACAACTGGAACAGCCTGATGAAAACAAGCACTTCTCACATTTTTTTCAGAAGACACAGGTGGATTTTGGTTTAATGAAGCTCGTTAAAAGGTAGCGGAGGAAAACACATCCATCAGTAAGCCAGTCACACGCAAACTCTGCGCCTCTTTGCCTGCTAGGACACATAAACCTATACATAGACAATACACAAGGGAAACAGCAGTTGCAATTCTGAGGTCTAGAATTCAAGTTCAAGGTGATTGAAATGGATCAGTCTACCCTGTTCACCCAAGTTAGAACTAAAGAAAAATCTTACACTGGGGTGTAAATCCCTCCGGTTTCTCAGATTGATGAGTGTAGCAAAGTACAACCACCTTACTTTTTAGGGGGGATGAAAGTGGGAAAAGGTCTTGGCTTGACCTACCAGAACAGTATTATCCCATCAGCTAGCAGCTTTCCTGGTGCCAGTGTTCCTGGACCCAGGAAGGTGATTATCACAAGCTGTGTGACTCATAAGGAAACATAAAGAAGAGGGAGCCTTTGAGCCTCTAATACTTCTCAAGTATTCAAGTATCTGACTTCTCCTCAGGTTGGGTGTGTAGGCCAAGTTAGCCCCTTCTTGCACAAAATAGCACCTCTCATTTGTAGATACATGTTCTAATCACCACCTTTGCAGCTCCTTCTAATGCTGTTCTATGTAAGGACAGCAGGGCATGGGAGCATGTGCATGTTGGCTGGAATGCACTATCAATAGCAGAGCTGTAGGGCCCTGGGGAAAATCTTTCCATGGCTCCAAGGTCTCTTGTCCCTAGTAAAACTTGTGTTGCTTGAATCTTTCTGTCCTCTAAGCAGCCTCTCCTTTAAAGTTTCTTTGCCTAATATTGCCAGAGTACATGTGCCAGTGGAGAGAAAAGTCAAGTAGGAGAGAACTCCCAGCTTGTAAATACTCCAGCAGTGCCCCAGCATTATGATTGCCACAGCAGCATTCTGTGCTTGTGGTGAGAGCAGTTGGTGTAAATGAGTAGCAATGAGTAAATCTTTGTTTGACATGTCGCATCTGAACAAGTTTCCATATTTACCCATTTCTGATGTCATTTTCTTCTTCTCTTTTAAAGGAAAAAGTGATGTAGAGCCAAAGAGTCCAGAGAAAGGCGCAACCCATACATCGTAAGTCACTTCTGCCTTTATGATTGGAAAAAAGCGTCTATGTTTTTTATCAGATTGGTTGGGCAATATTGAATTTGTCCATTTGTTTTCATTAAGATAAAGCTCTTTCACTGATGCTGTTCTTAGAAAGGCTTTTTAGATAATGACTAAACATTAATTATTCCTAGAACTTTTGCATGCTGGCGAGTCAAAGATCCTCACGAGTGAAACGGCTCCCTATCATGCTGAGTAGATATGAAATGATTTCTGTGGGTGTGAGAGGCTGCCCTTTACAACCTGACTTCAGCATTACCTTAATGCTACCAGAGTTTGTCACACTTGCAAAAAAACGTCATGTCACATATGCCTTTGATGTACTGATGTAATTTTAAAAGACTGCAGTCTGCAGCTTCACCTCTGAATTACTTGAAATCCAATTACAGTTATCTCTGGTCTCTCACGATTTTGTTGATGTTTTTGAATTAACAAAAGAAGTTGAGAAATAGATAGGAACAGGCACTTGTAATATATCAGTGTTCACCTTCACTCTGGTGCAACAATAGAAGCTTTTACCATTTTTAACTCCAGTATACAAAGAACAGAATTGTTTTGCCAACATAAACCAGTCTATAAAACAGATGGGCTGCAAGCTAAAATATATATATAAATAACAATGGTCTTCCAAATTGAGCTAGATAAGTGAATTCCTCTATTATTTACCATGCAGGAGCAGTATGAATTTCCACTAAACCATTCACCTTTTTAATCCCATTTGTGAGAGCCAAGTTCCTGCAAGTCAGTCATGTGAATTTTAGAGTGCATCTTGTCCATAATTTATGTTTCCTGATTCCTGTTATTTAAATTCAGAGCGTTACATCATGTAAATCTCACAAGGTGTCACCATTTGTCACATGGTCAAAAGTAGTCACAGAAGGATGTACAATAACAGTGATTTATTGTGGGATGTTTTCATTTCTGCTGCAAATACGCATTAAAAACCTACTGGAAATGAATCTAGAAAAAGCTTTGACATGGTGTAAGAAATGGCTTGTCCTGTGGATTGTGTTGTGGAATGTAATTACAGCCTGTGAGGTTATTTAGCCAAACTTATTAAATGAATTAAGCATTAGCAGCCTTATGCCTTCTGATAGTATGATTGCTGGGAATGGTTAATAGAATGATTCCAATAATTATCATTTTTAAAAATAGTATTGCAATAAAGACCGAAAGAAGAAGGGTTTTAATGCCATCTGGAGGTATTTTGGAGAAATGAACACATTTATTTTGCTGATATTTAGCAATATGTAAGCCATAAGCCATCCTCCACAGTGGTTTTGCTAGTCTGGTGGTATTTTATTTATGAGGAATGTTCTTAAGTTTCCTTTCTTCTCCTTTATCAACTTGAAACCCCCTAGCATCCCAGAATAGAGAGAGGTGCATGGAATCATAGAATCACAGAATGGTTTGGGTTGGAAGGGACCATAAAGCCCACCCAGCCCCAACCCCTGCCATGGGCAGGGCTGCCCCCACCAGCTCAGGCTGCCCAGGGCCCCATCCAACCTGGCCTTGAGTGCCTCCAGGGATGGGGCACCACAGCTTCTCTGGGCAGCTGTGGTGCCAGTGAGCAGGGTTCAGAGATGTGCCCAGTATCTGTCTCAGTTTCGGCTTGTGACTGTCCACTGTGCCACACAGAGCGCCAATTTAAATACAGCAGACTTCAAAATCTGCTTAGGTGTGAGAAGTTCCTGCCTAGTAAGACATATTTAGTGTGACCTTCTGAAACCATCCATTTGTCTACTGCATGCAGAGTACTTAGAATGCTTATCTTTGCCTTGTTGCTAATGCCAAGACCACCTCACAGTAGATATTGGCTCTTTGGGCAATTCTAAGAAGCAGCAATGACTTTTACCACCGCAGTGCATACAGCTGTGCACAAGATGCCCACAGAGGCCACACCAGCAGGACTCTATCTTTCTGTCACACGGCCATGCCCTGGGTGCTGGAGGAGGGATGCTGAGGAGGAGCCACAGTGAGAGGTGGCACCTTCAGGGCTGGCTGGGAGAAACTGCAGGGAGCCAGAAGGAATGCTCTGTGGATTCATTTCACCATGAATCATTGTTTCCATGTGAAAATGAAACAAACAGCAACCAAAAATAAAAAAGCAAAAACACAAAGCAAGGCATGTTGGCCCAGATAAAAATAACAGAAAAGATCGGGAGGAGCAAATTAATGTTTCTTTCTTGCAAATGTCTTTTTTATTTCCCTCAGGCATGTTACAAGCCACACAGTCAAACCAAGCTTATATGACTCAGTGGCAGTTAATTCATCCTTGGTGTAGATTTACTGCCACCATCCAAAGATTATTTATGCAGCTTCAGAAGACAGGTTGATTGCCCTCCTGAATCAGGCGGTGAGGTGCTTGTGAACCGAGCATTTACATCAGGTCTCCCCTGAAGGATTCCTACTACCTGGCCCACTGAGGTCTGGGGCTCAAAACCAGGTGTTGCTCTGGAGCAAAAGGAATGAAGGTGCTGCTTGTGTCCTCTGAGGGCATTGAAATCTGGGGCACAGATGTGTGCTATGCTGCTTAGATGGGTTTGGGTACAGGAAATGCATCGTTCTAAAGAGCATAATGTGTAGCTTTTTTCAGGTATGCATTAACTCTCTGGATGGACTCTGGTGGGACCTGCCTCTCCATTGATAACAATTTTATACATTATGAAATCAGTATAGTTTGGATGATTCACATTAGTTGATGCAACATCCTAATTAGGTAGATAAATAAGGACAGCCATTACAATGCTAGAGATAACTGAGATTAATGTAAGAGAGTGAGAATTACGCAAAACCATGGAGGAAGAGCAGAATCTGGGCAGAGTATTTGCTCCTTTTGCACAGTGCTGCTATGGCCCTCATTGCATCAGCATGCACACGAAATCATCTGAACTGGCACTACATGATGGCAATAAAAGGTGCAAACAATACAAAGGTGTTAAGCTGTCTTGAGTCTTCTCCAGCTGATTCATGTTCCGTGTAATGGAATGCTTTTAAAGCTATAAGAGTTCTGGATTTGAAGGGTTTTTTGTTGTACTCAGTATGTACAGCTCTCTATGGGTCATCTGATTACAGCTTCCCTGCACGTTTCTAAACTTTTAGGACTGTTCAGAAATATCCAGCAGTGTTTCATTCTTTTGGCTTTGTGATGGAAGTTTTATTTTTCAGTGGCTAGAAAACTTACCAAATGTTGTTAAAAGCACCTAATTTTTATGAAAATACTCCTCTCTACCCCAGCCTTACCACTTGTAGGATGAAGGAGGATGTTAAAGAGGAAAGGAATGGAAACCTAGTGCTCTTTTTGGTTTTTTGAGGATCTTTTCGCTAAACCTTTGAAAACTGCACTTGAAACTTTTAGTTGTATGCAAGGAAAAATTATTCCGACAAGCTCCTGTGTTTCAGAGGGTCCAGTGGTGCCACAGAAAGTCCCCACTGCACTGTAAGTCTGAGATCACCCACTTTCCCACATGCAAACTGTGACAACAACCCAAAAATGGCACATATACACAAAGCACCCCAAAAAATCTCCTGCTCTTGGGATGACTTTTGATGTACCGTCTATTGTAATGTTCGTAGTACCTTTGTGCTTATAAACGATCTCCAGTTCAGACTATCCAAGGTTAATCATGCCTGACTGTGATTCACTGCCATGCATTTACCTCGACATTTCTAGTGCACTTAATGATATCAGTGCTAGCAATGAGATACCTTGCTGCTGTCTCTTTATTATCCCTCCCACAATTGTTTTCATGCCGAGCTGCTTCAGTTTTTTCCCCTCCCTTTTTACAAGAGAATTAACCAAGATTGAGGGAGGCTTTTATAATTTATGGCAGTTATGCAAGTTTTGTCCTTTCTAATACACTCTGAAAATCACAGACATCCTGGTATGTGTGTTCATTTGTTTGCCTTTGCCAGGCAGAAATAGATGTTGGCACCAGTTATAGCATCACTTGGAGAATAGTTTGCTCAGGGGAACTTCATTAACTATACTAACTTCAGCTGTTTCCAAGCTGCCTATTTGCAGAGATTAGTGCTACAGTCTCTTGCCCATCCAGTTGCTAACATCATTCTCATCACCCTGATTCCCCCGGGGGAAGAAAATAGGAAACAGGTAATTGGAGCAATGTCACTCTTGTTCTTCTTCTGTGGTGCAACGCACATCTGTATCGGCATAGGATCATAAAATCACAGAATAGTTTGGGTTGGAAGGGACCTCAAAGTCAACCCAGCCCCAACCCCTGCCATGGGCAGGGCTGCCCCCCACCAACTCAGGCTGCCCAGGGCTCCATCCAGCCTGGCCTTGAGCGCCTGCAGGGATGGGACATCCACAACCTCTTTGGTTCAATCAGCTGTTCAACCTCTTTGCTGTTCAATCAGCATCAGCATCACCTGTTTGTTTCTTGCCTTTTCTTCCTTCCTTGAGTCTTACTCCTTAAATCTACAGAGTGACTCATAGATATTACAGCCAAAAACTCCCGCTAATTTCCCATTTTGCAGATGGGAAAACTGAGGCAGGGGAATTACGAGCCACTTCCAGGCAGCAGAGTATCGTTCTCAAATACAGGCGATCAGCCTAAGTGCTACCAATGCACCATTGTGCGCCGAGCCCCTGAAGAGCTTTTCCTTCCACATCTGGCTGCTGTCTGATCATGAGCCAAAGCCTTAAGTCTCTCAGGCATCCACTGAGCACCAGAGTTGGAAGATGAATCCTAATCCCACCTCACTTCACCAAAACACCTGGTGCAAGTTATTTAAAGTTAGCCTTGGCTTTCCCCCATCTAAAATAATAATTAGGCTGCCATGAAGACCAGCTCATTAATATTTGTACGAAGTGTTGAAAAATGCAATGTTCTGTAAAAAATGGCTACGAATTACTCACCCAGAACAATAAAGGAAATGAGGAGTAGATTAAGTTTTTAAAGACAGACTCAAGCAGTAAGTGGTGAATGTCTTGAGCAGTGCCAGTG